GCCGTGGCGCGACTATCGCGCTCGATCAAGATTTCGAAAGCACTCGCCAAGGGCGGGTGCGTCGGAATGCTCGCCCATTTACTCGTCACAGCCGAAGACCCACAGGTTCTTCTCTGGACCGCGCGGGCAGTTGGGTGTTTGATGCGGCCTGACAGCAGCGACATGGCGAAGGTCCTACTCGACGCTGGCGTTGCTCGCGGTCTTGCGCGTTTACCAAGCATGCTCCTGACGGAAGAAGTCGAGCCTTTGGGTTCGTTTGCTTTTGCCATCCAGCGTTTCTCGTGTGCAGAATGGGGAAGCGGAACCCGCAAGGCGTTGGTCGACGCCGGGGTTGTGGACTCCCTTCTTGCAGCGCTGAGGACGGCTGCAGATGAGCCGTATCCGCAGGTCCACATCGAGCTGGTCTACGCAATCGCTCTTCTTTCGGACGTCGGCGGCACCTCCATCCGCAAGGAAATCGTGAATGCGGGGGGCATCAATATTTTGAAACAAATTGGTGGCACGGCAGCCAGACCAGATGTCGTCAAGGCTTGCAATTTGGCTGTGACAAGTATCAACGGAAATCTGTGGTCGAGGAACGCGGCGAGCGCAAAAGCTGCTATAGCTCATGAGTGGAGCGGCGGCTGTCCAGACCACCTTCCAGAATGTCCTGTACCGCTGCATGACTGGCAATCGGAAACGAACGACGGCTGGTGATTTTTAAGGAGGTGTTTATCTTTATTCGAACACTTCGCTGTAAAGTAGTATTGTAGATTATAGGTCGTGTAGCCTTTTTTTCGAAGAATTGTAGCCACTGTTTCCGGTTGGTTTCCGGGGTGTTTTTTTTCCCTCGAATCGGTCACCAACCTGATCGCGATTTGCAAGTTGCCCACGATCTCTGCACGTTGCTGGCGTGCGCGGCGCACTGAGTACTGCATCTATGCCACCAGTCAAGGGCAGACAAAACCCGGAAACTTACCCGTTGTTGGACATTTCCACTTTGGTGGAAGTGCAGCAGCCGTTTACTATCCTCTCGGATGGTCGCAAGAGAAAACGAGCCTCCGCATTCTGTGTCGACGTTCTCAGTGACGCGTTCGAAGGTGGCCAAGAACGTTGTTTCCTCAAAATTGTGAGGGTTCACTATTCTGTCACTCAATTCGCTCAAATTCTTATTTATCTATCATGGAAGTTCCTAGCTGATGCCGCGAACACGGCTTGCTTCAAAGCAGAATGCGAAGCAAACCACGCGTTGCATCAGCATGCATCTAAGAATACCAAGGTCCTTACCGGAAAGCAGCCGCTGGAAGTATTCAAAACCCATCTCCAACTATCCAATGGTAAGCATCGCCTTTCCTGGCCGCTGTGTTACGGCTACATATCCGTGGAGGATCCCTTCTTTCAACCGCCAGTAAAGAAGCGTCAAAATGGTCCCGAACAGCCGGTGCCGGCGCAATTGCACGGCCTCTTGTTCCAATATTACGAAGACCTCACGCTCGATTCGCCGGATGATATCGACGACGGCGGAGTGATGGAGGCTAAGATATTGGCTGCACTGGCTCCGATTCACGCCGGGCGTATTCTTCATCGGGATCTTGAGGAAAGGACTGTTTGGCCGGAAACAGGCTTCCGGAACATTTTTCTGAAAGATGTCAGGAAACCCGTAATTTTGGATTTCGACCATTCACAAGTGATTCAGGAAAGGGACGAAAAGCGACTTCAGGAAGAAGAAACTCAGATGCAAGAGTTAATGGCGAAGGCTGTAGAAAATCGGGGACGCGAGAAGGGGTGGGGATTGAGCAAGGAAGTCCTGAGGTTGTTGTAATGTTCTCTTCCGTTCAGATCTGTACTGTATCTTCATTTGTGTGACGTTTAATTACTTTAACAGTTTAACAACAAGATGCGGTGCAAGATATGGTCCAGACCAATAGCCGCGCGGTGGAAACTACAGGTAACAATCGCCAGGAGGCCCAAGCTAGTTTACCTTATACAGCGTTGGAACCCTTTCTAAGGAAGAGAAAGATGCCAGAAACGCCAGAAATAAGAAACGCGCACACCGAAACAATCGACCCAGCCCGCAGCACGCGGCAGACCGGGGTCGGGGAAAGAAAAGGAGCGGAGGCGTGTCTCGACTTCGGTGCTTTTGCCGAAGAGCGCGAGGAAGGTGTGCTGCTTCCTCGCTCCGTAATGCGACAGAGTATGTAAAAAACAAGCCACCCTCAGAATCCCCCGAAAAGATGGATGCCCCGCGCACCCAAGTCCCCCGCGTGGCGGGAGATACATCACCACGACATGGAGGTATGGCGAGGAAAATCTCGCCGCCGGACGCGCGCCATGGAGTTCACGTCCCTCAGGAAAGCCACCAATAACTCCACACAACCCGCCGCGGGCAATCCCAGCCGCCAGCCCAGTGCTATCAGTATGCACGGAGTACCCAGCTCGCACCCCCAGGACAAGCCAGGGCTGTAAGCGACGACGACCCGAAGATGGAACGCTCGAGGGGCACTCTGACTCTGCACGGAAATAGATCGACGAAAGAATCCCCAAACACCGCCGCGTACGAAGCGGAAGCCGAAGCCCGCCCGAAGGAGAAAGCGAAAAACGCATAAACATAAACACGTGAAAGGTGGAATGCAAAACGTCGACGCTCGGCGCCCGATACACCCAACGGCAAAGAAAGTAGAAGTGAAGAGCAGGCGGCAAGAGGAGGTTTATCGCGACACGCGGGGGCGTTATCGCGGCATGAGGCGGGCGATGACGCAAGAGGCGCCGGGAGCGGAAACGCGCCCACCGAAGGAAGAAAGAAATCTTTTCGGTGGCACACGGCCTAGAGTACGGAGAAAAGTCCGCAGTACGCGACAGGGCAGAAAGGGGAGGCGCCACCCGCGTGTCTTACACCGAGGGGAGCGTTGTCTCGGGCCGACGGAAAAAAGGAGGCGAGTAGCAGAGAAGGAAGAGAAAAGGAAGCGAGGGGCGAGGGGGGAGAGGACACGCACATGAGAATGGAGACGGTTGCAACGTCGATAGGATAGAATGTGAGCGCAAAGTTGCAGCCAAGGATGTACCAAAGCGTCCCGTTTGTGCCCGTCTACACCGCAGTTAGCTTAGCTTGAATGCCGTGAAAGAGGGAGTGCGCACCCGCTCGCTCTCGCGCATAAGGAAGCCGAGCAGGCGCTCGTATACGCGCTCGACGGCGGGGACTCGCAGACGCACGACGTCCGTCGGGGCGATCACGGCAAGCGTTGACCACAGCACGACGGTCACCGTCCGCGGGGCGATGTTCGGCGTCAGGTACAGGCCCAGTGTTATGAAGCCTGCATTGATTCGCCGTTAGCACCACATTATTGAAGAGAAGCGAATGCCACCGACCGATAGACGAATGGAACACCTTGCGCGGGATCTCCCAGTCAATCTTCTTCGCCTCCGGCTCCGCCCTCTGCTTCCCCTGCCGCTTGTCTGCGCGCAACACAGCGGCGACCTCTGTCTCGTCCTCCATCTCGTGGTGCTCGTCGTCTGCGACGTCCTCCAATGCGTGGCCGAGGCCTTCGAGGGTGCGGATGACCTTGCGGGTGACGACTTGGACGCTGCCGGTAGAGGGCGACGGGCTGGCAGAGGAGCGGCGGCGGTGGGCGGGAGGAGGAGATTGGCTCAAGGACATTTAGTGTAAGGAGAAGTCCGTCCGTCACACTGCGTCACACTCGGAGGATGACTAAATGGGATGACTCGGCGATTGTTCTTCAACCACCACTCGACGCGTTCAACGGCGCAGAGCACTATCAGAACACCCGGCAGCACATGGTGTGCGTCTGCATAACTTAGGCCTTCATCAAGCCAGATTATGCAAAAGGCCTCCGTTCGATTCGGGGCCGGGTGATTTCAATTCTTCGACCACGATCTTTTTTCTGGTAGGTCATCCTTAATTATCATATTCCGTCGCTGACCTGACCTTGCTATTTTTTCCCGTAAACAGTGGCGCATAGGCATACGAAGAACATAAGCTTGCAGGGATTAAATCCACCTCACCCGTCAGCAGGTACAACTTGATTCAACGCTGAGGTGAATTTAACGACGCAGAACACTATCTGACCACCCGGTAGCACACGGCGTGCATCTTTATACGATAAGAACCTCGAGGCTAAGTATGCAGAAGGCCCCCGTTCGATTCGGGGCTGGGTGATATTGAACTCGGTGGGTCTTTTTTCTGGTAGGTCATCCTTGACTATCTTATCCGCTTACCTTGCTATTTTTGCCCCCCAAGTAGTGGAGCATAGGCACAGGGCACATGTTGCTTCCAGGAATGCAGCTCACCCGTCAGTATGTACAACTTGACTCAACGCTGAAATGAATTTAACGACGCATGACACTATCTAACCACCCGGTAGCACATCGGTGTGCATCTGTACACGGTGCTACCGTATCGACGACCAAGATTATGCAGAAGGCCCCCGTTCGATTCGGGGCCGGGTGATATTCAACTCGGTGGGTCTTTTTTCTGGTAACGGTCATCCTCAAGTATTTTATCCGCTGACCCTGCGTTTTTCGCACGCAAACAATGGCGCATAGGCACAAGTAGGGCGTAAGCTTGCAGGAATTCAACTCGCTCGTTAGTACAACTTCATTCAACGCTGAAGTGAATTTACTCTAACAACGCAGAACACCAGCAGAACAACACCCGGTAGCACATGGTGTGCGTCTGCACCTCATAATACGGCTTTTGTTCCACCATCATGAATTATGCAGAAGGCCCCCGTTCGATTCGGGGCTGGGTGATGGCAAACTGAGAAGGGTGGCTCTTTTTGTTGAATGGGCCTGACTCCGTTTCAGAGGTTGATGTTGAATATACAGGTGCCTGTGTTGGCCGTGCGTACCGTTTCGCTCACCCAGGCCCTCAAGTTGATCAGCCACGACCCATGGCCACGGCGCATCCTAGTTATTATTAATTGCAGAAATCGAACTTACCCGCAAGCCCAGCTCGATTCGCTCTGAGCGAATACATTCAACAACGCGAAACACTATATATATCGCACCCAGTAGCACACGGTGTGCATCTGCTTATACTGACAAGTTGTGGAGCAGCCGGTAATTATGCAGAAGGCCTCCGTTCGATTCGGGGCTGGGTGATAATACCCTCTCTTCATGTTTTTTAGCTTGTTGTGCATATTCTTCGCTGATATCCCCTCCAGCGTGACACCTAACAAATTCCTTGGAAGGCCCAGACGACGGAGCGCACATCCCTGACTAATTATTTTGCCGGAAAATCCTGCTATGAGATCATTCAAGGTTCAAGTTCCTGTTTGGTTCAACAGCGAAACTCCAGCTGATTCACATAGTCACCCACGCAGAGTGTACTATAGGTACATCAGAGGAAATGTGCCGTGCTTGATGAGAATGTGACGCGTTCTCGGATGTACCTACGGTAAGAATTTTGTATATCCTCCGCTTCTGATCTTGGCTAGATCAGAAAAGGCAACTTGTGGCTGTGCGGTGGGATTAACCACTGCGCAAGGATCTTGCAAGGATCAGAGCAGTCAGGCCTAGTCAGGAACGAACCCTGGGGGATAGAGCGCCTGCAATTCAGGCACGCCACTGCGATATGCCTCCGGTTTGACGGCCGCACTGTCACACAATCTTCATATCCTCTAACCTACCACCCCGAATCCTCTCCTGACAATGCATCTCCGAGTCCCAGACCTCCTCGCCGTCCTCCTCGGTGTCGCCCACACAAGTCTTGCCACAACCCCAGCCCCTCCCTTCCCGAGTATCAACCTGACCAGCACCACGCCCATCTCGCCGTTCGACCTACCAGCCCTGCTCCCAGTGCCGTCGCACCCCAACCTTGCTGCTAGCGAGCTCATTCGCACGACGCTCGGGCACTACCCGCTCAGCATCGACGGCAAGAACTTCGAGGCGTTGGCACTGGTCTTCGCCGCCGACGCCGTGGCGAACTACTCGGCGCCGCTGAACGTGCTCACGCCACTGGCGACCATCCAGGCCGTGCTCGCGAGCAGCCTGGAGAAAGTGACTACGCAGCATTCGCTGGGCACGCAAGTGATCGAGGTCCTGAGTGAGAACGAGGCGTTTTCCGTCACGTATTATACGGCGACGCATTTTGGGATGGGGGTTTACGAGGGTGAGATAGCGGTGGCGTATGGCCAGTATCAGGACTATTGGGTTCTTCGGCATCAGAGCTGGAAGATCCAGAAACGGAATCTGGTGTATATGGTTTGTTACTTTCCCGTGCAGCGAGCCTTACTAATGTAATCACATTAGGGGCCAGGGATTGGAAATCTCTCAATCTTCACTTAGATGCCTTCATATTTTTCACGAGATTTAGTTAACCCATGACCAAACTCAAGCATCAAGTCAGGAAAATGGAGGAAAATCCATATATTTATGCCCGTCCAGTTCCATGCGCCCGTCTAGCTACAATTTTTCTTTGCTTCCCGTAACGCCATGCTATTCTCATGCCTCCTTTCGTTCCACGCCCGTCCCAATGCTCCATCGTAAACGCGTAATTCATAAACGTCATTTCCACCACTCAACCATCTACCACTGCGGGAGATACAACAAGCGGAATCCTACAAGGCTGGCAGCCCTTATTAATTTTGGCTGTCGAACAGCTTCTCTTCCTCTGGTTCTCTCTCCCACCCACCGATCCCGGCGATCCGCCGACATTTCTGGTGAAACGAAGGAGGGCCTGGTGGACCTCCAAGTGGTTGCCCAGCCTGATGCCGATGCCTACCCCTTCAATTCGGGACCGACAATGGAGGAAAGGGGCACGAGCGTAGGGTTCGGTGAATAACTCCCAGAGGCCGTAACATTTGTTAATAACAGTGAGCAACTAGGCGAGAGTTATTCACGCTGTTATTAACATGATGCCAGTGTGAATAACTGATGTTAATAACATCCTAGTTGTTCACCGAACCCTACACGAGCGACAATCGACCGTCCAGCGATTCTTCGGCCTCTTCTGTATTGGATGTGCCGGAAAACCGAGGTCGAGTCTACGCCGGGGATGGATATGAAAAGATCTTCCAAGTTTCTGTGCATGATGTTCCACAGAGCTAACGGTTCGTGCATTTTTTTGGACCCTGGGCATCCAACCTAGAACACCTGGTAGCACATTGGAGTGCGACTGTACACCACGAGAGACGAATGAGATGGTTATGCAGAAGAACCCGTTCGATCCGGGGCCGGGTGACATCGCACATATAGACATTTTTTTCAGGTCCGCGTGCATAATTCAATTGGATGAATCTTCCCTAGCGTGCCTTAAAAACCGGTTCCAAGACAGTCGGACGGCAGACCGAAATGATGGTTTGCACTCGCAAGCAAATTTAATGTCCCATTCAGATTCCAACCCAGGTTCAAGTTAACCTCCGCCCCAGCCTGACGATCAAATTCAGGCGGACCCATGCAGCTGACGTCGCAGAACACTGGTCAACCACCCGGTAGCACACGTTGTGCATCTGCACCTCTTGCCGTTCCACTCCTGCAGTCTTGTGCGAAAGTCTCCCGTTCGATTTGAGGCCAGGCGATTATAAAGTCAGTGACTCTTTTTTTCGGATGGGTCTAATTCCGTTTCAGAGTTTCACGAGGTTGAATACACAGGTCCCTGCGTTGGCCTCGCATATCCTTTCCGTTTCCGGCAACCAATGCTCGAGTTGAACCACCACGGCTCACGGAGCGGTACCGGTACGTTCAACATTACTACATAAGTCCAACTCACCTTACAACCCCAGCTCGATCTGCTCTGAGCGAACACATTAAACGACGCAGAACACTGGGACGACACCCGGTAGCAGATGGCGTGCATCTGCATAACATGATAAGTGTGCGGTTCCAAATTATGCAGAAGGCCCCCGTTCGATTCGGGGCTGGGTAATGTGATCCCCGGCTGCGAAATCTTTTTCGGACCCGTGAGTATAATTTCCTTAGTCCCCTGCGTCGCGCCTGTCGATAAAATAGCCTCGGGTTTTGTCGACAGTAAGAAGAAAACAACCGCACATTATCAACCATCAAGACTCTTTGCAGGCAATATGGTCCAAGTTCAAAAGATCGCCAGCTTGTTCAAGGTTATGCCGATTGGTTTTTCTCAGATAGGTCGGTTTGCCTATCCTGCACTAAGTATTTAATGCGCTGATCGGTTGCGTTTTGGCCCATACCCAAAACTTCAGACATCAAGTTGAATTGGCGACGACGGCGTGCAGGCATAGGTATGTGCAGGAATCTGGCGTGCTCTCATATTGTAGTTGTCTACCGCAGTTATAACTAACGACGGAACACCCGGTAGCACATGGAGTGCATCTGTATACCATGTCGAGTTCGACCACCATAACCAAATTATGCAGAAGGTCCTCGTTCGATCCGGGGCCGGGTGATGGGGCATTGGCGATGGACATCTTTTTTCAGGTCGCTGCATAATTGGCTGAACTTCTCTTGCGTTGAGATTCCCCTCCAAAACCAGTTTCAAGCTGTAGTCAGACGACAGACCATAATGATTGTTTGTAATTCGCAAATTCGATGTCCCACCCATTCCAACCCAGGTTTTGAAGTTGAACTTCACCCCAGCCTGACAACGGTGAAATCAAATTCAGGTGGACCCATCCAGCTGACGGCACAGAATACTGGTAAGAAACCCGGTAGCACACGGTGTGTATCTGCACCTCCGGCTGTTCCACTCCGGCAGTCTTGTATGAAAGGCCCCCCCGTTCGATTCGAGGCCGGGTGATTTTAAAGTCAGTGACTCTTTCTTTCGGATGGGTCTGATTCCGTTTCAGAGTTTCATGCGGTTGGATACACAGGTCCCTGCGTTGACCTCGCATATCGTTTCCGTTTCCGGCAACCAAGTCCTCAAGTTGCACAAATTTTATGAGGGATAACGAAATATGCATTCTCGGGTACTAAATTTAAAGGTACGGTTTGAACCGGTTCTTTATACTAGACACAGTGTTCGACTACGGCTTTGTATACAGTGCTTAAGTTTACATTATCTCCACACGACGCTCAAGAAATGTTGCGAGGTACTGCCTTCAAAGGGGACCTACACTCAGTCTGTAGAGGTTCGCGTAGCTGTGCGTAGCCGTGCGTAGGCATCTACCCAAGCCTTGTGTAGGCCGACTAGACTGAGCTAAGCAGAGGCCTTGATCCCAATGTAAAGCTTCAAAGTCGAACAAGCCGCACGGCTGTCCTGGGGCCGGAGCTTTTTAACTATCGGTGTTTGCTCGGCGCTGCGAACGGACCAATCGGCGGTGGTGGGCATTAGTGCCGGGGCACCCGGAAATAAAATGAGCAGAGTTTTACACCACAAGCTCGAGAAAATATGTTTCCCTTGCTAAGTAGATTCCACAGGTGCGACTCCATGAAAACCTGCAACTATGATAAGAAATTCGTAGGGTTAAAAATTATTCTGAGCCTCGCGGCGAAACTAAAATATCAAGACGGGCATACACCGTCCAGCTCCTGTATATCTATCGCTTTCAACGCGGCGTCTTCACCTCCCAGCAACACCGCCTTGCCTGCGCCAAATGATTCCCAGCTAGCGCTCCGCAGTCCGTTCTGCGGATCCCGGGAAAAGTCCAACCACAGGTCCTGCAGTGTAGCACCAACCATATTCTCATAGCTCGTCGCCGGGCCATGGAACTTCCCTGCGGTGCCAAAGATGAGCGGCAACTCCGACGCATGGTACGCGCCGGTAAACGCCGGCGGGGAAATATCCGTAAAGTTCCCGTCGTAGCGGTACCGATAGGTCGTGAGCCCGTGCGCCTCGCGCAGCTGTGAGGTCTCGGCCGCCGGGCACAGGAAGCCCTCGTTTGCTGCCTCGTCCTGTTTAGGTGACTCGGGTTGGAGGGCGTTCAGCTCATGCTCGTTTGTCCCGATGAGGGCGGGGATGCGGGCAAACTGACCGCCGGCGTAGCGCGCCTTGTAATCAGAAAAAATAATGTGGTCGTCGGGGATGGGCAGGAATGAAGGTATCGACGCGTTTGCGGCCAGGAGAGCCTCGATATCTTGCCACGCGACACCGCGCAGGCAGTCAACTTGGCCAGCACCAGGCGCACATCCGAGCTGCGCGGCCACGCCCGCAAAGTTGACCTGTGCCGTATCGTTGCTGAGGGTAAGAT